AAATTGGAATTGGGCCCATTTTCAACCTGAAAGGAAAATGTTTTTCTACCCGAACTATTCTCAAAGAAATATGCTTAAGCTATCTTGATCCCAACAAAGCTTTTGTTCATGTACATGATTTACCTGTTTATAGATTCTTTATTTCATACTTGTATGTTTCATCTTAAGTCTTTTGATTCAAATGTATACATTCGGATAGAATCAAAGAAATCAGTTTCTTGGAAATTATTTATGCTTTTTGTACTTCGCAATAAAATATCAAAACGACTTAAAGAATGTTAATATCCATCCACTAAGATAAATTCTTTCTTCAAAAATATCGTCTTTTTAAAATTTATCAGCACGTGTTTCAGAATTTATGCAAAAGACATTTCAGATATTTAGCTTGAAGGAAAACAAGAATTTCCCTTTTAAATCCTTTATTCCATATATTACATATAAGAGATAATAGACATTTAATTTTATTTTCAAAATGCAATTAGATGAGTGAGTTGAATTTTAAATTCAATCCTCTTATTGTTTTCATTTCCATTTGATTCGAGAGAAGTAGAATTCATTAAACTGCATAAATCAGTCATCGATGTGTTGGTAAATTTTCTATTTCCCTTTTATTGTGTTAAAAAAATAAAAAGAAAGAATTTTACAGATTGTCACGATACTTGTTTTTATTATGCTACTCATAACAATTTTTGTTTTCTCGCATTGGAAACTTAAGCAATAACAAATCATTCTTTTTTAATGCAGCAGCAACGTTTATGAGCCAATATCCACTTACGATGCTGTATGAAAATCGAATGAAAATTGGAAAATATTTTTTAAAGACAAAAACTCATAAATATTTGTTTTACCATCATTGCTAAAGTGCATTCTGTCAATTTTACGAGAATTTCTCACATATGAAAAATTAAACTAGAAAGTTGAATGTTTCTAAAATTGAGATTAATTTTCATGATCGTCATTCTCGTCATACTTAAATGACTTGTTCCTGATTTTTCGTCGCTATATTTTAATAAATTATAACATTCTTACTTATCTAGACTCAACTTTATATTCTGTACACATATAATATCATCAACCATGACAGAAACTCGTGAGTTTGAGCATAAAACATAAAAAAATGCTTTATTATTATACTTGAGAAATATTTTCCCAGCAACTGCAAAACGTTATGGTATGAAGTAATAAAATTACATTAATTTGCATATCAATTGATTTCTTCTGCGATGTACATTATGTTTCTCCCACTTCACATATGTACGAGTAACATTTATGACGGAAACATTTTTTCTCATTTTAGCACAGAATTCTTTTATGTCCTCGGGGAAAAAATCGTAAAATTATCCAAGTAATAGAAAAAAAGAAATTTTCTTACTTTAAAGTTGTTTATATCTCATCATTTAATGATTTCATTTTTTTATATCTTCATGAATCAAAGGAGGAATTTTCATTTTGCTGAACATCAAAGGTGATTTAATTTTCGTTAACTATGCTTCTATTTCAATGAGAAAATTTTGAAAATGTTACACAAATATGTAATTTCAACCAAATGTGAACGTCTCATGAAAAAATCATAATCTGCACCGTCATTAAAACTAAAAAAATTCATTTCAATGAAATTAAACATCGAGCATTTGAGTTTTAAAATACATAAATATTTGCTGAGTTATATTTTATTAAAATAAAGTCTGCATAATGCATATTCATACATTTCTTCTTTCTCTTTCAATTAATGCTTAATATATTAATAATTTTGCATGAACCAAAAAAGCTCATAAAATATGAAAAGAATCTTGTAGAGCTTTTCTTTTATTTTCATGAGTTAATATTAAAAAAGAATTTACAGCATTCATAAACCTAAGCCCCATAGAAAAAAAAAATCAAATAACTTTCGTTCATAATAGTGAAAAAAAAGGAGAAAATCGAAAGCTTTTTTGTTGGCAGGAATTATAGAAGAAGAAGAAGAAACAGTTTTGTATCTCTGGTGATGAATCAAAGTAATATAAAATTTATGCCACATTTAAAAGGCACAGCCGTGGTTTATATTTGATTTATTCTCTTGAAATCGGATACATAAACCCCATCAGCCTACACCCACTTAATAGATGTGTTTTCCGGATCGTTTCAAATAACGAGAGCGAGATTGAAAAGCTGCTTCTTTCTCATAGCCTTTTTTGTGCGTGTTTCTTTCATAACAAGAGGAAGCGCAAGAAATGTTCAAGCGATTGAAAGCAAAAGCGCGGTTTACAGGGATCGTAAAAAGTCCCTTAAGCAAAATAAAATTAATCCGTACATAAAACGCATAAAAATAACAGGAAAAGAGATACTTTGGAAGCAACTTTATCCAGTGTTGTATTCCACTTTCGTTAAGCGGTTAAATTGTCATAGAAATTTTCTTACCACCAGCAATTTTACATAAAATGTCAAACATGAATAACGCTCGGCTCTTTGTTTCTAAGAAAATTGTAAGCTTTCTTTGAGAAAGCCCTCGAGTCATTTAAAAGCCACTGACTGATTCTGGAATGTAGATGGAAGCAAGAAAAAAGGTTTCGCTTCGCCAAAAAATTTATTGTTTCAGAATTTAATTTATTTCCATCGTGCTGCTAGCACAAAACGATAAAAATGAGATCTCTACTGCGACTTTCGCTTGTTAAAGCACATCACTCAAAATGGGTAAATGTTTTTAACTTCTCTCTATTGGCCTTTTATTCTTCCTTTCGTTTCCTTGACCGCACGTAATCATCGGCCATGACACGTGATACAAAGAAATTCGATACAAAGCTTTATGGTTAATGTCAGAGAGATAGAATAAACATTTTAACAGAAGAGATTTGAACTATTCGAAATGAATTTATGGTTTGACGTTCATGAATTAAATAAACTTTTCTAAATGCATTAAGAAATTTCGAAATTTCAACATTTTTTATATGAAACGTAACAATGCAATCTCTTTCAACAGATAAAAGTCAGTTGATTAAGAACTGTTCTGACAATAAAGAGATAATTTACATTTGAGAAATATTCACAATTCTTTCACCTTGTCAACTTGTTATGAAATTATTCAATTATAGCTTATGAACTAATGTGAGGGAATATTTCAGACTATGCAGTCAACCATTGGTAGCCAAAAACCTGAAAATAATTTAAATTTGATTCATAAATTTCTTTTGTGATTTGACGGAATTTAATTAAAAATGTCGACTATGGCACGTACTGTGACTTTCCTCGAATGTCATAGTTTTTCCTTGTTTTAACTTTAATCGTCATATGCTAAAATGATCTTGATCACATGACAACAGCAAAGTTAAACAGGAATGATGAAACTTGGAAAATAAAGTTTTTGGGGAAATAACTTTACCTGCTGCTTTTGCCTGACATTTTAGGGCACAGCAATGCAACTATGAAAGGTGAACGAGGCGAGAAGATTTTGTAATTTCCGTTTGTATGCTCTTCGTTTTCACAAATTTTCCGCATTCATCTCAATTCATCCTGTAAAGATCTCTTAATGAGTTTTCATTTCTTTATGTGATGATGGAAGAGTTATGAGAATTTTCCATATAAAACTTTGTTATGAAATTCTTTGAAAAATATCAAAACATGCTCCGTGAGTGTGAAAGGAAATGACTTTAAAAAATTCATTTGAAATTATACCGAGTGCATGATAAATAACAAATTTATCTGCAAAAATTATTCCCTGTAATTGATTTCCAACTTTTTCTTTTGAGAACTTGTTAATTTATGACATGGAGTGAAGAAAGGATTCTTGTTAGTTGGAAATTACGATGACATAAGGAAACAAACAAATAAATCTTACGAGTGAATTTTGAGCATTACACATAAAAGTTTTTCATGTTTTCCTGTTGAAACTTAGCTTACGACATTTGAAGATATGTGCTACCTGGTAAGAGAAGAACATGAGTCGAAAAAGTTGATAGAACTTAAATTTAAAACTTTTAAGTGTAGATTTGATGATATCGTATGTGAAAATTCACACAAACTTCTTCTTCATCTTTCTAATCGACAAAATTTGTCATCGAACTTTGTTAAAAAACTAAAAACTCTTTTCATCTGATTACACAATCTGACATTAGAGTTTTATTACCCAATTAAAAACTTGTTTTATGTATTGTGTTGTGAGAATATATTTGTCATTACTAAAGCTCGTAAAGTATAAAGTTAATGGTAAACAGGAAGGAAAAATGCTGATAAGTGAATCAGTTCAAAAAAATTAATGTTCTTAGCAATTTGTAGTGAACTACTCGTACCTAAGCCATTTCGAAATTCGCGAAAAACATATTTCAAAGGCGATATTATATCTGGAAAAGATTGATTGACGTCGTCAACAACATGCCTTCAATTTCACAATGTTATCAGTTATGTTATTAACTTATCGTGGAATTTGAAGGTATTGTCGTAAAGTTTTGCGCATCAATTCTTGTTTTCTGCCTCAAATTTGTTTGCTTATTTATTTGGCATCAAAAGTTTCATCTAAAACTTCTAAATTAACATCTCTGCTCTGATGATGATGCGCCAAAAACTTTTCATGTTCAGGAATTGATAACAGGAGGCAAATCAACAAACATTTGTTATTAATTTAAACGCCTTGTCAAAAACAATTCTTCGTTTTGGTAATTTCGTCACACTTCGCTTTGAGATATTTTAAGCTTTCCTCGTGACCCCGAAAATTATCATTTTACATTTTTTTATTTCCTGACTTCATCGACTTACACTTGACTTGATTTCTACTCAATCTCTGTAATTTATTATCTTTTCGTTTTCCTTTCCTGCTCGACAATCCATTAAGATTGAATAAATCAGCTAAGATGAAACAGCTCTTCTATAATATTTGCTAATCATTAGCAGAAAGCATTTCAAAAGCAGGGAACGACCATTAACAACCTGAACGTTGAATGTTAAGTTGCTGAATTAATTATAATTTGATCTCTGACTTTAATTAAACCTCAACATTTACTACACACAAAAGGAATGAAATTTCAGAGTAATTAAGGTTTTAAAAATTCTCTTGAAGCTGTTGGGTAATCTTCACGTGTAGTCACTTCTGCATAAAAATAATGTTTCTATTATTATAAAGCTGAATGAGTATTGTTGACGCCATTGACTGAATAATCCATCCAAGGGATTCTGCAAAACTTTCACGTTAACAATGCGAATATTTGTTTCTTGGTGAGAAATTAGTCGGTTAAATTTCTCACTAATGAAGCGAGCCGACTTCAATATTTTTCTCAAACTATTATAATTATTCATCCGTTGTAAGACTTTTTATTTCGTACGAGTAGAACACAAAAGATTTTTATAAAATGATGATTTTGTGTGAAAAGAAACCTAATTAGTTAACCTCATCTCCACATTTCTTCTTTAACCATCAAAAAGTTAGAGTGAAAGCCGAGGATATTCATTATTTTCATCTACTTCTCGTTTCTCTTCTCACAACCATCCCCATTAGCTATAGTTTTCCTTTCTTGTTCAACTCTCTTTTTATTCCTACCCATACTCATTCCAACCCACAATTTCCCGTTTGTCGTCTTCTTAATTTCATTATTTCAATTCTTTTTAATGATAAAATTTGCACAGACAAAATTACCATTTTCTTCCCATCTACAGCCTTAATTAAAGCATCCAACAAAGCAACCACCCGCGAGGGTTTCGGACTAAACTGAAGAAGCAAGTGAAATTGTAAGCGATTCCCTTTCTCTTTCATGCTTACATTCTATTTTCATCTTACAACATTTCATGGAAGTTTATTATTCACATTTCACTGTAAGGAAATCAACATTACTTCATTGCATTAAAAAAAAAAGAAAACGATAAAAAATGTCATCCAACTGTCGCTTGACGTCTCGAATTTTTTTCCCTGTTGCGAGTGCTTTTTGTAGTTCACATAAATTCAACTAAGTAGAGAAGAAATGTGATAAGAAACTTTTTTTCAGTACTGCAGTGTCTTGAAACTCACTCACTTTTCAAGAATGTTATCTTCGATTCAAAATATCGAATAAATGTGGAAATCTTTACAACTTCACTTGTCAGATTCAGACAACGTCAAAACGAAGCATTTTCACTATATAAGAAAGATACTTTGAGACTAAAAAATGTTTATTATACAAAAGCTTCTGGAGAAGAAAACATCTTTTATAAATTATGAAAAGTGATACGAGTGTTTGAAGTTAAACAACAAAGTTTTCTTAACTGATTTTCGGTTTTTATTTCAGGTTTCTTCATTGCTTGCTGTCTGATTGCAGTTGCATCTGCACAGTGGAATCACAATAATCAATGGAATCAAAATAATCGTTGGAATAACAACAACAACAATTGGCATCAACCACCAAGACAAGACATTGTTCGTGAACATTTACCGAATGGTCAAGTGAGATGCCGTTTACGATGCGATCGTAGCTTAAGAGAATGCCCAATAGTTGCATGCCCACGTGATGTTATCCCTTCATTGCCTCCACTTGACTCTCAATGTCCAGTCATAAATTGCATGGAAGACGCTCACAGACATTTCGTTTTCCCACATCCAGATCCAAACTGGTTCTACCAATGTCAATTAGCTAATGCTGATGGTCTGTGGACTGTTTTGACCAGACCATGTGGTTGTCAAACACTTTTCAGCTACAACGATCAAAGATGGTAAAATTTAATAACTTTTAACAAATTGATGAGAATGTTTCTCATATAAATGTTACTTAGTGTTCATCCTCGTGAATGGGTCCGACAATGTAATGCTTCACCGGTCAGTCCAGTTGCTGCAGAATGCGCTTTGGATTGCCCCGACTGTAATGGTAATGGACAAGTTCCCCCACCTATCGAAGCCCCACCAGTAATTCCTCCACCTGTAATCCCACCACCAATTGAAGGTCCACCACCAAACCAACCTCCAAATGGATGCCCATGCATGCCATGTAAGAAATGTTGAAAAATCTCAAAAATTTCTCAATTTTCATTCCTTTTTTCTTCAAATTTTTACAGGTATTTGGTGGCCTTGTGTCCCTTGCAGTTGTTAAACGAACATCAGATTTTAACACTTTATTAAATATAAAATTCTTTGTTCACAATTTCTTTGTATATCAAAGATAAATATGAATTATTAAAAATATTTCTTAGTGTTGAGCAATGCACAATAAATTTTGTCTTTTATTTATGCTTTTTTGGGAAGTTCATCAAAATTTATCAAAATCTTCAATGACAACATTGAATGAACATTTAATATTGACAATGATGAAACATCGTCGATTTCAACATACTGAACTACATAAACTGCGCATGTTAAGTAACTTTGATAAAGAAAAAAATGTTTAATTAATTTTTATGTCAGAAATAAATAAAAAATCTTGAAATGAAAATTGTAATTTTTTCTTGTTTTGCCAAAAGAAATATTTTTTAAATAGATACTTAATTAACATACTAATTGCATGTCTATCAGAAACGAATCAAGTGTTTGCATTCAAAATTTGACACAATTAAATTAAATTTTTATTTGGAAACAAGTGCATGGAGACTCAAAACATTTAATTGAATTGAATGGTAGTCAAAAATTTTCATCCACAGCCTTCAATAATTTCGCAGTTCAAATCAAGGATGTTGATGAATCAGAGTTAACCGATCCATTTTCCGATACGGATCGGCGATCCAATTTTGAAATTTTGGATCGCTTAACTGGATCGGCGATCCAAATTCTTGGCTCGCCCAACGCTGTTGATGATAAGGAATCACAAATATATTTCAACCTACATGTTCCTACACATGTAAAAAATTTCTATAACTTTCTATTAATAAAAATGAGGAAATGAAAAGTGATAAAGTTTTCTGCTTTGTGTATCTAAACTTCCTAGACTGCAATAAAGTTTTTTCTCTTAAAAACTGACAGCTGATTTGAAGTCACATTAAGATTTAAAGGAAGTCAATAAATTGATGAAGAACAATTTTCATGGTTTCGTGATTTTGACACTTTTAATGACATGCTACGGAAACGGCTGATTCATAAAAATCCAAAAACTTTCAATGATTCTTCAGACCTGACCATCATGCGAAGTCGTCATCATTTTACATGTAACCTTGACGTTTGTTCTAGCAATGATAAGCAATATCTAAGAGTATGTTGTCAATCAAATCGCTGATGTAGCGACTAATTGAATGTTTCAATAAATGTTCGCTCCTTAGATAAGGAGTAATGATGTTGAATCAAAATTTTATCTCGTTCAGCTAATGACTATATAAGTGTAAAAATGTTTTGAATTTCGATAGTTTCTTACCTCTGCTTGAAACACTACCAGTGGGAAACGATGAAAAAGTGTAAGAATTGTTAATTGACAAAGTGGAAAATTAAATTATAAAGTGCCAAAATTAATTTTCTTACAGTTATTGTGCTATTTGCACTTTTTGTGGCAATTTTTGCTGCACCACAAGTTATCGATGAAATAAAGACAAACGACGAACCACAAACTGCAGATGAACCTGAAATTCTCGATCAGCCTGAAGTTTTCGATGAACCTAAAGAAGTTGATGAACCTACAGAAGTAGATGAACCTCAAATTTTCGATGAACCTCAAGTTGTCGAGGAACATCCAAATGACGAGGAACATTCAAATGACGAAGAACATGCAAATGTAGAAGAACTCCAAATCGTCGAAGAAGATCAAATTGTTGAAGAAAGTCAAAGTGATGAAGACGATGAAGAATTTGTTATAAAATCAGAGAAAGCTCAAATGTTCTACAATCCTATGATGATGGGTGGAATGAACAGTCACATGATGCAACCACAATCCCAAGAACAACAATTCCCAATTGACTACAGCATGTCTTGCTCAAATTCCTGCAACTGCGGAACGATTTGCGTTCCTTGGTGGCCATGCGGTTGTAAATGCCCACCACCATGCCCACCAGTAACCGATCGTAAGAAAATCATAATTTGTTAGATTTAATAAGAAACTTTAATTTTCGCGAATGTAGCACCACCAACTCTACCACCACCACTTTGCGTTAATGGAGCACCAGACTTTACCTTCCCATGGTGCTGCATCAATGGAGCTACCAACCAATTCTGTTGCTTGAATGGAGCTGACAATCCTCAATGTGAACTTGCAACTGTACCTCCTCCTACTGTAGAACCACCTCCGTAAATATAATTGTCATGTTTGAAATTCATTTATTAACTTTATTTAATTCATTAGTGGTGATACACCTTGTAATGGAGGTGGATGTTGCAAACCTTGCATACCATGCATGCCTTGTAAGTTTTACACTTTTGCTTATATCAGTCAACTTTATTTCTTATTCTTTCCTTTTTCCAGGCATGGTTTGGTGGATGTGCCAACCTTGCGGTTGCAACAACGGATGCGCCACAAGTAATTTTTATTGACATTTGTTAAAATGATTGAAAACTTATTTCTCATTTTTATAAACAGCAACAACACCACCAATTGTTGAACCACCAACTCAACCACCACCACTTTGCTGGAATGGAGCACCAGACTTCACTTTCCCGTGGTGCTGTGAAAATGGAGCCACAAATCAATTCTGTTGCTTGAATGGAGCTGACAATCCTCAATGTGAACTTCCAACACCACCTCCTATTGTAGAACCAACTCCGTAAATATAATTATTAATATTGAAATTCCCTTATTAACTTTACTTAATTCTCTAGTTCACCACCTTGTAATGGAGGTGGAAGCTGTTGCCAACCTTGCGTACCATGCATGCCTTGTAAGTGCAAAAGATTTTCATATAAAAATGAGACGTTATATTAAATTCAATAATTTCAGGCATGATTTGGTGGATGTGCCCACCTTGCGGTTGTAACAATGGATGTAACCAAGAAACAACAACACCAAGTATTTGTTTAAGGTTTTTGAAAAATATTTTAATTACTAATTTTTCACTTTCTCTCAGCAACAACTGTACCACCACCACTTTGCAATAATGGAGCACCAGACTTTACCTTCCCGTGGTGCTGTGTCAATGGAGCTACCAACCAATTCTGTTGCTTGAATGGAGCTGACAACCCTCAATGTGAACTTCCAACTATCCCCCCACCAATCGAAGCGTAAGAATATTTAAGTTTCATATTTATTTTAAATTAATTAAATAATTTCTTTTCTAAAGAACTACTCCTCCATCCAACGGTTGCCCATGTCAACCAATTTGCAGACCTTGCATGCCATGGTAAGAAATTTGGAAAGGAAATTAATTCAATGAGTTTTAAATTCTTCTTTTTGATTTTATTAAAGGTTCCCATGTCAGCCATGCAGCTGTCCATGCTCCAGTAGCAACTCCAACCAACACAATAACAACCACAATAACAGACATGAAGACGTAATTCCTGTTCCTTATGACGAAAACGACATTGAAAGTGATCAATGGCAAGATAGCTGGAATGTCGGCGGTATGAATCATTTCTAAATGTAAGAAAGCAAATTTGTAGGAAAGGAAAAAATGTGAAATGCTTTTAATTTGTGCTTTGTCAAATTGAAATAAAATGAATTAATTGTTGATTGATCCCAAGAATAAAACAAATTGTGCAATTAAATTTGAATTAGCTTCAAATTCGTTTAGTTCGCTTTTCTAATTTATTGTTTTACATTCTGGAAACAAAATCAATTATTCAAGTTATGTAAGTAGTGGATTAATTACAGTCAGTTTACATTATGCAATACAAAAATATTTAATGAAATCATTTCATCTGAGAAAGAAAAAAGAATTGGTCAGAGAATCAGAAATTTTGCGCATGAGTTGAAATGATTATTTAAGAGTAATTTGAGTCTGCACTTGTTGACGCCATTGGAATTCTTGTAATTGTAGCCTACAACAGAAAATTATTGATATCTTTCATCATAAAGTGTGGAATATTTTTTAAAAGCTCGTTGGTTCTATTATCTATTAATAATGTTAACATGGATATGATATTTGTGATATACAAAGAAGTGAAGGGCGATAACAACTTGCGACAAGTAACTAATGTTTTATCAATTTCATGGACGTATCTACTTGAAAGAAAGGAAATAATTTTTGACGACTTTACTTCCGATACATCTTGAAATGTATGTTAGCAAAAATATTGAATTTGACTTATCGGTTTGCTAGATAAAGTTTTACTGTCACAAGTTTTTGTTTTGAAAGAATCGACTTTTATTTTAAACTTTTGCTGATTGTGTGGATTGAAATAAATTTTCGTAGAATTTAATTCTCGTGGCTGAATTGCGTTAGAAGTTAAATAATTTTTCATTTAATGTTTCACATTTTGTCATGCTAATTACATGTTAAGCCTCTTCGATCCTTGCAGCTTTTCTCCAACAACCAAACAATATTTACTAAAAACGTATCAAAACTAATTTCTTGAAACATTGAATAAGTCATACACAGTTAGCATACTTCTTAACGAGATTCGTTGTCGTGATAAAGCTAACACGTTGATTGTTGAAGGGAAACAAATGATTGTCATATTAAAAGTCAACATTTGTCTTCTGTAACACTTATAAATTATTTACATAAGAAAATAAGGAAGCAAAGTATGTTTTCTGAAAACAAATTGTGAAAAAATTTATCTAAAAATTTTGTGTTAAGTACAACAGTAAATTGTTGGAAGAATAAGAAAATTTCATGCATATGAGTCCAAAGGAGAAAAAGCAGGAAACGAAACAAATAAGTCTTGAATTATCTTTACAAATAGTACTTTCTAAGGAAGTTGATGGGAGCACGTTGTCATGTAGGCAAAAATATAAGAATTCTTTCTCATGAAGCTAACTTAAGATGGGGATAGAGCGGTATGAAACAGATAAACACGAGAGAAAAATGAGAAAAGTGACTTTCAAGTTGTTTTAAAGTTATTAATAATTCAGAAAAAAATTTATGCATGCAGAAACTTTTACATTTTTTCCAGTGTGTTGCTATCGTGACTCCCTCCAACTGCCATCGCAATTTGTATGATGGAGAGTTTCCCTCCTTTCTTCCCAAAGAAAAAGCTTTTTTTAGTCCATACATTATGTCAATGAAGAAACAACGGAAGGTGGTGTGAGCGACAAAGAATAAGTTAGATTACTTATTTAAACTTTAAGTCATCTAACTTCGCTTGTAAGTGCGCAAAACGATTTCGTTCCAATGGCGATCGCTAAACTTTTCGTTTTCTATTCATGCGTCTATCGTACTCGTGGCAGATTTTTCGTAAACAATTAGCCAAAGTTCAAGTTCTGAATACATAAGTAAACGCAGGGGGGAAAAGTATGAAGGAATTTCCTACAATAAACTTACTTATGTATATTTTCTATATTCTCATAGACGAACAAACATAGATTGTCACGGAAAGTTGGAAACCTTAATCTAAATTACAAACTCAATAAATCATTCGCGCGTTTCCGATCGTTTTATTTATTTATCCATGACAGTCAAACAAGAACTTTGATTGCTGATGGTGTATTCATAATAAATCATAATTTTCCGCTTCTTTCTTCTTTTATCTATCGCAGTTGCTTTCCACTTCACGCTCATCCATTATCAATGTGACTAATAGACGATGAGACTGTTTATGGGTAAAATTGTTGTTCCATCAGTTGCCTATTTACAGCTTTCCATAGAAATGCGACATTCGAACATATTTCCTCGTACTACGACGCTGTTTTATTTATCCACTCAATTGTCGATTCGATTAGTGTACACGCAATCTGTTGGATCCAGAAGAAAAAAAGGGAAAAAAATGAAATCAGATTCTTCAACTTGTCTTCAGCAAAACAATTTTGTGTTTCTTTATCTCTTTTTATGTTTTTCTTGTCGTTGTCTTCGCTTGATAAATCATTGAATACAGAAAGATTGTACAGGGAACGAAAAATCTCTGGAGCAGACGATAAAACAGTCTTAAAAATGTCGATATTTTCTTCTTGTTTTTAAACACAGTAGATTGTTGAAAGACAACACAAAAAATGTCGTTCATGCGAAATCTTTTGTGTTCACTTAAAGGAAATCTATTAACAAAAGTTTCCCCTAAACTTTTCCGTCTCATATATTTATTTATTAAAGGCTTCACTGTAATGAAAGAATAAAGAAAACATAACTTTGGGAAAAGAATAAAATCAATTTTTCATGCTTTGTTGTTGGCTATTCGATAGCATTGGTTGCAGAACTGAGAATAAACAGAATAAATATCCCAATATATTTGCTTTTACAAATGTAATGTTAAAGATCTTCTGAAGGAAGAAGATAAGTGGATTCAAAAGATGTTTAATTTTTTATACTTTTCAGATATGCATAACGTTAAAGCATAAATTTTAGTGATCGATTTTTAAAAATAAGATTATTTTTAATGCAAGAGACTTGAAACAGATAATTTAATGGAAGAAAGTTGCCAGGTAGGAAAGTTGACTTCTTAATCGAATTTCTCTACTTCTAGTGTTGTTTACAGAGTATTTCAACTTCATAAATGAATTTAATATTATTAAAAGTATCAAAATAATTAGATTTCTTGAACAATATGAGAATATTGATAGATTCACTTCTTCAAGTTGATTGTTTGTTACATAAATAAATTGAGAAATCATGACAGTTCTTCAGGCAATCTAAACTTGAACGTGGATAAAGTTTTTGCAATTTATGCTGAATATTTTGTGAAATTTCTGAATTTCTGGATGAAAATTGAATTTTTTAATCTTCTCTGTGCAATTTCTAATTGTTTTATTTGAAATTCTTAAGTCTTGATAACCCAGCTTCTTAAGAATAAAATTATTGACAAACAATGAGCTCACGCGTCTTTGATCACATCTACCAAAATTACTTATTCTCGAATGAATGATTAATCAATTAATCAACAGAAAATTAATTTATTAAAACAAAATTAATCATGACGAAAGTAGATATATATCTATTTTGAAAATATAAAATTTTTCTCAACATATTTTGTATATTGCAACAAATTATAAATCTGCATCTGCAGCTATAGGAACAACTCCAAATTCTGTAATGCCACAGTGATTATTGGAATTTCGTGCCATCCTTATGTACCTGAAACAAAATTGTTATTATTTATTGGTTATAACTTTTCCACGAACTTGCCAAGAACAATCTCAAGAGTGAGTTTCATTAAAATATTTAAATTTCAACTAAAAAGGTAATTTCATTAAAGCATTTAGATATCTGAATTTCACTTTTAGCTCTTAACTTTTTGTCTCAAACTTCTCTATGGACTTTTAATAAAACTAATTCCTCAGATAGTTCTTGAAAGTATTAAAAATATTGGCGCATAATTTTTTATGACAATAAAACCAACAAGAATTTGGCAAAATTAAAGGACGGAATATCTGCAAGCAAAATTGGTTATTTTTATATTGTGGAATTTATGTTATTACCCGTCTTCCCCCCACTTCTCTCCATATGAATTTTTAACAAGCCAAAAATCTTTTCCAGTCTTCTGATCTGAGCCATAGCCAACAAGTAGAACCGCATGATTGATAGTGGAGGAGGAACAATTGTCATCAAAATAAACTCCTTCCTTATAACTTTGAAATGACGCCAAAGAAGCATCGACTGCAATTCCGATGGGTCCAAATTTGGCACAAAACTTCTTCAGCAATTCTTCATCACCAGGTTGAATACTTTCAAATGAAGAAATCTTTTCGTATTTGCTTTTTTCTATATCAGTGATACAATCAAAGGCATCGCCAGCTTTGTAAGGATAATTTTCAGCTAATGATATGCTTTCATCTGTCGACAACATATAATTATAAGCTGTCACCATGTCACCACCTAAGAATTAAAATAATTCGTGAAACCATAAAAGTTTTTTGTTGCTTAGATTGAACCTGAACAACCGTAGTTTCCTGCGTCATCATCTCGATTGCAGTCAATTAAATTTTGCTCCGATAATTTCACAAATTTTTCAAGTTTCTTACAAATTTGACCTTCAAGAGCTCCAACTGCTGAAAAACTCCAGCATGAGCCGCATAATCCCTGGTTTTGAACTGAGGAAAATTTTTAAAAACATTTTGTTAATTAAACATTGGCATTGTCACCTGCTCCAACAAGTCCCTGAGTAACCCAATCTAATTTCTCCGGAGGAACAACGTCAATATCGTCATTCTTTAACTCACGAGTTTGTATTGGCTTAATAAATCGATTCATTTTTTCATTCACATCTTCTGTAGTCAAATCAGAATTCTCCCAAACATCTCTTCGGAATGACGTCAAATTTGTTTCGTATAAGAAGTTGTGGTCAAGAATGTCTCGTAAATTATTGACGAATGTTGTGATGGCTCTGATTTTATCCTCCACATTTAGATATCTTTTATTGTATTCCTTTTCAAATTCGTTGAACTTCAAGATCTCAAACGTTGAAAATTTTGCTAATACTTTTGTTGGTATTTCAATCAAATTTTCAGCTTCACCAGCAAGTGATTTCTATATAAATACAAATGAATCGTCAGAATTTTCTTTAGATTGATTTAATATTATACCAAATTAAGACTCTTCAAGAAGTTTGCACTTGCAATGGTTGTAGATATTAAAATGCACACCAAAATTCCACGTCTTGCCATCATGACTTTCAAAACTCATATGAGAAATGAGGTTGGTCAAGGAATTCAAATACTTTACTTACTTTTATTTTCTTCACGAATTATCGTGCTTAAATTGTTACAGAAAGTTCAAGTAGCAGTGCAGTAGCTGACAACTGTTTTAATTTTCTAGATAATAATTTTAAATCATAATGAAGTCAAACTTTACTTCTTTTGTCACGACAAATATCATTGCGAATTTTTGGCACAATTGAAATCCAGATCAAAGTTGAGCAATTGAAAGAAATTGAATAGAAGAAAAGAGAACAGAAAAAGCTAGAAATAAATAAATACAACTGAATTCATGCGTTTATCGTATTTGAACAGAAATGAAAGTAAACTGTTTTGTCGTGTTTATCTTAGAGAAAACACAATATCATCACAATATCGTTTTGTGTTCTCGAAATGATCCATTTTTTGCTTTCTTTACTTTACTTTGTTTCCAAAAAGTCCTTTTTTCTCAATGCGCTATCTGTTAGACGACGATACTTTCCCTCACACGTTTCATGCCGAATGCCGAACCAAATATTGAATTAAGCTTTTCAATTTGTGCCCTCGAGGACGAAAAAGGATTGACTTTTCATTTTCTAAATCCGAGTCGACTTTCGTTGATAAAAATAATAGAAAAAAGGACGCACAAACATTGAGGGAAAATTAACAATGAAACGTTTATGTTGATGGACACAAAAGCCTTTCACTTTCGCATCGAAATATGATTTCGATAGGATCCTAAAGGATAAACAAAGGCAATAAAAGTTGCGGTGGAAACCTGTCACAATAGTACGTAATTGTATATCGTCTACGTCATGTATCATTAAATTTTATTCAATCTCGGTCTTCACATTCCTTTAACGTTTCGAAGTGAAAAAATAAAAATAAAAATAACATAAAGTAAACATCATGACATTAATAGCAGAAACGAAATTACGCTCGTGACCATAAATGATTAAATGGATAGATTTAAAAAGGTATTTAAGCTGTTGATGCGTATCAATCAACTCTAATACATATTTAAGAAAGCGCTCAAAGCAATTTCATTAAACGTCGTTCTCGAATAATTGCTTGAAAGAAATGTTTCTGTTCTCTTCCCACGCACTGTCGCTTAGCGTAATAATCATTTCGTTGAGAAAAACATAAAAGAAATTGATAAATAAGAGCAAGGACGTCGTTGACTTAAGAAGTATAAAAGAAAAGGAAAAAAAAGAAGAGAATCATTAATCTCTTGTTACCCGTCTCGCAACAGTTTCTTCTTTCCACCACTGGTAAAATAGCGTATACCTGTTTGGAAATAATCGCGTGCAAATAAATTTCTCAGCCATCAAGCGAACGAGAAAGAGAACAGGAACAATTTTAAATGGAAAAGGTATAATAGCTTTCATTCCGCGATTAACTTTTTTTCTTCATTTTCTGATAAAGAGTCAAAGGAAAATTTTTATATAAGGGAAAAAAAACAAACTTTCTTTGTGCTGACTTTTATTCACCGACAAACGATTTTCACACATGTGCGGGGGTGCGCGGGAAGGTGGCAAAAGAGGAAGCAATCTAAATTGCTCAATTTTCGTCTTTTCTTTCTTCTTTTGATTTCGATTTTCCTTCGCTTATTTAGAACTTTTGTTGAATGTAGTCAGATGTAAGGCAGAAATTGATAAAAGAAATTTTCCTTGCGGGCGTTTCTTTGAGGCTTCTTTTACTTCTATCAAATTTGACAGTAGAACATCTTAAATGTATACATTAAAGGATGAAGATTATACTTAAGATGATACTCATATTTAATGAAAATGAAGCTAAGCTATGATTACACCTGTGCATTAACTGGGAGAGTAATTCAAGCTGTATAAACTCTTTGCTGAGTATAATTAGATTAAAAAGAGTTAAGAAATTTGATATCAGAAGTTAAATACATGTTGAAAAGATTTTTAATTAAATTTTATCGGATCATACTATGAAAAAGATTTTTATTAAGGTTTCCAACTGTACCACTGTATACGTAATAGAAAAAGCTTTTATTCGTATTCTTACATAACAAAACAAAACAAAACAGAACAGAACAAAAAACCAAACGAAGTGAGGAAAAACTTATCTTAATACATAAACACATCAAACAGATTGGAAATGTCTGAGTTTATTGAGATGTAATCGTGACACGAAACATGTCTTCGACAGCGCTTTATTTTCCAATTAAGTTATGTTTTCGACTTACTTGCTTGTTTATTGAATCATTAAGAAGCGAAAGCATTGAGAATAAGAACATGACGATGAAACAGAATGAGCAAATTCAGCGGAAAGTTTTATAGAGTTGAGTGGCAGAGGCCATTGAATGGTGTTTATCTTGAAGTGAATCATCTGACTTGAGTTCCTTTTCTTCTCTCTCAACGATTCAACAGGATGCATAAAGTAATTTCTCTCAAGTATGTATCATTCGCATAAAATCTTCTTAGTAACTTATTACATAATTAAAATATCATATCCTCAAGCATAATCGGTTAATTTATCGTGAAAACACTCAAATAGTTTATGAACGGAGGGAAAAAATGATATATTTTGATCATAAATGTAGTCTGGTCGTAAAACAAAAAAGAAAGAAAAAGCAGAAGACTAACTTGGATCTGCTCTTATCAGGTGAAAAATAGTTCTTGAGAAATTTTCTCCATTCCCTCAACGATGATGCTTATCACGCTGCAAAGTTCTTTTTCCACTTCATAAAAAAAGTTAATCTGTTGCAAATTTGTTGTGCTGTCTACAGGAAGTGAAAGAAAAATGCGCGTGGGTGGAGGGTGGAAGACAAATAAAATCAAGTGCCTGAAAATCAACTCTCGTGTGATATGAATAACTTGTAGCAATCTAATGAATCTTTTTTCCACGTGAAATTTTTATTTCTGTTTTCTTAGCTTTCTTTCTTTTTCTTTTCTCATCTTTCACCTTCTTCTCTGAGTTAAAACAGTGAAAATTTCTCGTGTCGACGAGCTTTCTCCAATTCGCTGAAAAATTATTTGTAGCAATTTTTCTTGAGACTCACCTCGTGTTCGCTCTTCAGTAAAATAAAAGTACATTGAAACGAAAAAAAAGCACCGAAAAGATTAATGATGCCGAAGACAGTGTGAAAAATGCTTCATTGCCCTATATCATTGCAATAAAGGAAAAAGAAGAGAAACAGCACAAAATGATTAAGTGCAAAAAGTTTACTTTGCTTCTTTCTCCTGACTTTACTTCGAGTTGTTATTTATTCTGTAAAATGTTCTAGCAATGGTGCGAGGAAGAAAGCTAATGGAAAAAATGTGACATTTCACCTTATGGTTTTTGTCACTTGATTGTGTTTTTTCCTTTTTCTCTTCCGGTAAAGATTTGGAGGAGATTTGCGTATTTTATTTCTGCTTGATTTTTATTGGAATTGTTGGTTAAATTTGGTAAATTAATTAACCACAAGAATTTAGCACGTTTAGTTACATTCAAGAGTAAGCAGTGTGAGTGAGATTTATGTTGACAACATTTTTTTCTTGTTGTGCAAGAGTTTTGATTTCAATAAATTAAATAAACATTAAAAGAACATCATTCAAATTATGATTGATTTTATTCTTTAGACATAAATAGCAATCATTGAAGCAATAATTCAATCATCGTATGTTTGTTGTTTTCAGCTGTACATATTTCGTTTACGGTCTCTAGTTAATTGTCGGGTAGTTGATATCGAGATGAAGGTTCTTTGAAGTTATTTTATCTTATGGTTTTTAATTTCGAAAGTGATTTTAAGAGAGGGGAGATCAAAAAGGACATGCGCGGTAAGAGCGACACTTTTTAACATAGCGGTTAGTAGCGGAAGTTTCGCTATTCTTGAATCTTCAAATTTTAAAATCAACGAAGTTGTCCATCAACGAATGTTTTTCATAATAAATAATGAAAAGAAAAGTACCTAGTTTGACGATAAAATTTATTCATAATTAGCTTAAACCTTAAATTTAGAAAGAAGGTGCATAAATATTCAGGAATTCGTGAAAACTGAAATATTGAAAATGTGGAAAACTTTTCATTGCAAATAAAAATCAACAAATGTTTAATAAAAACAGGCTAAATAATGAAGTATCTGCAAATATTTAATATTCAAACATCTGTTTAACTGTTTGATAAATAAAAATGCTAGAACTCATAAATATGCATTGATTAACATCACAGACCTCATTTAATTCTGAAAAGTCATCGACCTTTCAACAAATTGAGGTCTTACTTAGAAATTATTTCTTTATGAGAATAAATATTAAATGTGTAAATAATCAATAAACTTTATATATTCGCTCAATAAGTTTATTGCAATCATTCAATACGTGAGTCAGTTATTCAATCGATTGTTTCTCTTAGCCAACCTTGGTAATTTATACTTATAAAAACTCGCTCGAGAAAATTCACTCTTATTATGAAAATCTTAAATGTTGAGAATTTAAACTCTTTGCGAGACTCGTTTTATTTCATTCAACACTCTCTCGTCTGTTCATCCCCGCCACAATTTTGCAGTAAGCTGCTTTACCGATAATGTTTTCAACCCTCGAATTTTCCACCCTCTTCATATCGTTTGTATCGTAATTTAAGTAACTTTGTGTGCTGCTCAATAGAGTTTTATAAAATAATCTCAGCGACATCTTCGATAAATGATTTCAATTGAAAAGCTTGCAAAATTTTAGTTCCAAAAAATTACTCCAAATAGATGTCGCCATCATTCAGAGCTTTCGTGAGTGTTCTAATACAAAGTTCTAATATAAAACTACATAAAAAGGATAAAAGTGAAATCTTGAAACATCAGTTGGAAGATTCTCAACATTTCCGTCAGTTTAGATTCAGCTTTCAAGTGAAACGGATCGAAATTATCAACACAGAAGCTTCATGATCTAAAGTGGAAAAGAATTGATGAGTATAAAAGCATTTTAACAATTAAAAAAATTGTGATTGCATAAGAAGAAAATTGAATGAAATTGCGTTCAAGAAAATTCAATGGAAGACGGATTAAGAGATTAAACGAGAAAATCAAATCTTCATTTCTAAAGCGTGCGTTTGTTGCTTGAAATAGAAAAATAAAAATTAATTATCAATAAGCGACAGTTGAATAATCTGAAGTTGTCGAGTGTCATTAAAAGGAAATAAAAAAGGAAGAAATAAGATTGAAGCGGTGTAATAAAACCGCAATATTTAATGATGGGTTCCAAGTCTTCGCTTATATTTTCTATGGTCATAGTGTTATTCACTTTAATCATCGCAACAAATGGTTTACAATGTCACATTTGTGGCCAGTTCAACGATGGTGTCGGTTCAATAACACCATGCCTTAATTACACTGAAACTAACGCTCACCTACATCTCAAGGAGTGCCCAAGAAAAACAGACAAGTTCTGTGTGGTAAGTTTCTTTCTTTTTTTACACTAATTAGCACTTTTCTTCTGCAATTGTCATCATGAGAAAAATTCGCTTCGTTTGCGGAAATAACGAAGAAAATTTAATGTTTTGTGTGATGAGAAAAAGTTTAATTTGAGATGGATAGGAAGTAAAATGAAGCATGCAATTCTCTTCTAATGCAATGGGCGTCATCATATTACATAATCGATTAAAGGTTCTTTGAATTTTAACTACATAAATGATGCTTTTTCATTTATTCGAGTATATTTGAAATTACGTTTCAATTGGAATTTTATAAATCTGAACATTAAATTTGAAACTCTTCAGTTTAGTTCTAATAAAATTAACACTCCCAATTTCTAGAAGCAACATTCATGGCGAGAATGATTTTTATGACATTTCGTAGAAGTCATTTATATTAAAAATTATTTTTATCGGTGAATCTATACAAGACATCACTTGAACCCCTCATATGAAAAAAACTGTAAGAAATTTCAAGAAGCACGAAAGGAAATTTATAGCTGAAGCCTCTTGACTAAACTTTAACGTTGGTTGAAGCGATTGATCATAAAAATCTCAGTGATGCCAAGCGAAAATACATTTTCTCATCGTTGTTGTCAACAAGTTTAAGTAATTTCTCGTTTATGAAGAAAATTGAAATTCGCGATTCAAATGCTTTTAAAACAAAACCAAACATCATCAACACTTAAGACATCCTGGCATGAAAAAGCGATGAGAAACATTGAAAGTAAATAAATAAATATTTACATAAGCTCTGACAGCAAAAATTCTTCATCACACGAATGCTTTTATCCATCCCCTATGTCTACGTAGTCAGCGCTTCTCACTGTGAATATGAATGTGTTAAATTGAATGAAAAAAAAAGGTTCGATTACAGAAATGTTTACTTATTTGGCGAAAAAGAAAAATTCCATCAGAAAGAAATTAATCATTTCATGTGGTTAGAAAAAGCAATGGAATAAGAGAAATTTGAGCTTACCTGCAAGTCATTCCAAGCTTTTTATTCTCAATCGAATGCTGTAAATAATGGTTCAATTTCCGAAAATCTATTTCGAAGGCTTATGGAAAACGATCAACAATTTTCCATCCAATTTTCCGCTTTTCCTACCCCTCTACTTAATTCTTCACACTCATATTACCTAATTTATTTCTTTATCGTAAACTTTTTTCTCAAGAATAATTGGAGGACTTTTACAAGTAACTGATAACTTGAAATAAATGCAGCAACTTTTCTTACTGATAAGTGTGTCAGGTAAATTGCCTCAATCATTCATTTGGCTATCTTCATTCACTTGCTTCAAGACATGAAAGAACTTTTTCCTTTTAACAATAGAAGAAACGAAAACTTAAAGCTATTGAACTTCATGAATAACGAATTATCTGATTCATTCGTAACAAGCAAAATCACTCGGGAAATTTGTTCTTTTTCTCCTTCCTTCTATAAGCCAAAGTGGTTTTTGTTATGTATTTCTGCAAGTTGTAACTTTTGACGATATATCATGTTTCGAGACCGTATATCCGGTTAAATGTGAAGTGTGTGATGAAACAGATTTCATTGAATCTCCTCATTTCTTCAAGGGTCGCTCCTTATACACATCAACAATTCAGGAAAAGTTAAAAGTTTTTGGAAAGTTCTCTATAAATAATTTTTATTGTTTTATTATTTATCTTGAAGAAAGGAGAAAATAAGAAGCATAGAAATGTAAGATTTATTTGTTTTTAAAAATTCATTAATCATTTTTATGAGTGATTGAAAAATACTCATTAATAATAAAAGACAAACTCAGGCATTTCAAACAGAATCATTATGTTGAAAGGAAGAAACGACCATGACGTGTATTAAAAAAGTATTTGAGTCTGAAAGATCTCGCCGAGCTTAACAAAATATTCATCACTCACAATTCAATGTAAATGAAAAGGTTTGATTTAAAATCTCAATATTCTTGCAAGTTCGTGTAATGGTTCAGTAATTTTCTTTTACTCCGTCATAAACCACAAAAGCTTAACGCAAAAAGGAATGTCTGAATATTGTGTTTGTCTCGCAGCGGTTCAAAATATTCCGAATCGCATAAATCTTCAAAATTAATATTAAACATGAAAGCAGCGTAAAGAAAAGAAAATCTGAATTAAAAAAAATGGAAATTATGATAAATTGGACTTTTTCGTGACATAATTGCTTAACCTACATCTAAAAGCGTTAAAAACTTTCATTATGCTGTAGGAAAATCATCTTTTGATGAAATGAATTTTGTTTTCAACCTATTTCAATCGTCAATTATTTCGCTCATATTTCTTCCCCAAAGTTAAATTACTTTTCCACTTAGACCTTCATTTAGGCTTCAACCGAGAGATTTAGGAAGATTTGTGATCTGTTGGGATTGTAATTTATAAATTCGTTCGTTAGACATTTTTAATTGAATTTACGTCATATTTTAACTTCAAATTAGTTCCTATAAATTGAAAATTTTGGGATTCTCTTGCTAATGTTAGAATGAAAACTTTAATCTAACTCTGATCCTTGAAACTTGGATTAGATAAAGGAAGGTTTAAATAAAATCAATTATCTCGAATATTAAGGAAATGTGTGTTGTTGATGATGAAAATTCAAATATTTGTGATTCACAAATATTCAATAAACAACAAGTGATGATGTTATCTAATGTAGTTTGCAAATAATCACATTGCAACCATACAAACTTATGGGTCTGGGAATAAGCAATAATTTTATTATAAATACATAAGATATGAATGTGCTTCAAAGCTTATGTTATAAACTGATCTAATAATTTACAAAGCAAGGCACAATGTAGTTTAAACGTTTGTTATTAAATGTGTAACATTGTAGCAATAATTTATTCCGCTATAATCATCAATTTATTGAAGATTTTATCGTTCCCGATGCTAAAGAATTTTTATTGCACTTGTAATGTACACAATTTAACGAAAATAATTTTACAAGAGGACTTTGAACATAATAAGATAATGCTTCGTAGACGATATTAAAGATATAAATACGTTTATCTCCCAATATCTTTTACTGCCTCAAATAGAGCAAAAGTTGCTTTTTCAATCCAATTAATTTTTATAACAGATTGCGATGAACTCGAAAATGAATGAATTCTTCATAAAACAATCTTCCCTTCCTAAGAGTTTATTCCATTCATAACTACAAATAAATAATTTGATCATCTCGTTTAATTTCCCTCCAGGGAAGGATTTTCATTTCTTAGCTTAATCATAGAAATTTCGAGATTGTAAAGATATAATTATTAAAGATTCAGTCAAAGTAAGAAATCAAATCTTTTTGACAAATTTCAACCCAATTTATCGAGATACGAATCTAAATTATGAACTTCTCACTTTACTTTAAATCTATGCATGATATGAAAGGATTTGATTGACTAAAATAAAATCTCTTAAAAATCCATTGTAATAAATTTCATAAATCGTTGAATTCTCCCAAAGCTTCTTATGTTCTACATCTATTCATAAATGTCAGATTTTCAATAGACGACAATTTGATTTTTCTTATATCAACTCTTTATAATGATCCTTCTTATCGATTTATGTACATGATAGTTGATCGATTGACAAATTTATGATACTCATTTCTTATTGAAGACAACATTTTTAGACAACGGGTAGATAATCTGATGCGATTAATCTTCGCCTATCACATGCACATAAGTATCCGAGAGTAAGTAACTCGATAACGTGTCTGTAATGTCTTGAAAGGTCGGCCGTATTTATGAATAATAGACAACTGGATACCGGACAAATAATTAATTATTCTCCCGCGATTTCATAACACGTCCGTTCGGTATCTTATTTATTCACTCACTGAACTCCTCAATTACTGAGCGTACTCGCACTAATACCAATACACTACATTCCCCTCCTGCTTATTTTGTTCAAAATTTCATTTAATCTTGAAGTTTTGTCATATACGCAAGTTTTCCAGGCGCTTCCATCTCAGCTCGATCCCGCAAATTTCTTTCTGCCAATGCCTCCTCCTGCTCTGACGTATTTTTGCATGCCTCTCAATATCAGCCGTTTCTCTACCTTGCATTTTCTCGACCACATCTCGTTCGCTTATTTCTTCGACAAACAATTTTCTCCTTGCCGAAAGGATTGCTAAGTTATCAGGTTTAATATGATGTCAACACCATGACGACATATTCATCGATATTCTCATTTATTGTTTTCTTATGTTCATAACAATCTTCGATTATTCAACCGTAAGAAGAATACTTTCCTGTTTTTTCAAACGATCATTCAACTTGACGCAAATGTTGATGATGATTCAGCACCAGACTAAAGCACAAAACTTCTAAAGCTTCTTTACAAACAACAAAGTCCAAAGTTTCTGGCATTCCGTCATAATTTCCTAATTCACTCGGTGTTGTTATCAATTGAAAAGAACCAGTTGATGAAGTTTAAGGAAAAATTCCAAATATTGATTTTTCGACGAGAGGATGACGCCAGGAAGTGTCGCTTCTGATTCTGGTCGTTGCATATCAGGACATGGTCTTGGTGGTGATCCTGTTGAACTATCACTCGAACTATCAGGTGAACTTGCTAATGCTGTCCCCATTGGTGATAGCTTTACATTTATTACCGTCTTATCTCGAATGTTATATGTTGATAATGGATGACGATCATCACTTATCTCAATTAATTCACCATTGTTATTAAACAAATCAATTTTTATGTTATTGATAGATGATCCTTTCAATCTCTTCAATAAGTTTCTCTTAAATGAAATGACAGTCTCGTTTGTATGTGTTGTAACTTCAATATCTTCCAATTGACGTCCATTTGTTTGAAAGCGAATGTATAAGCAAATGTGTTTATCACACGATGCTCGACTTAAGCTAAGATTTTGACGTTCACCAGTAAAGACACGATCACATTCTTTTATATATTCTTGCATCACACGAAGAATTCGACAAATTTTATCAGCTTCAATCATTTGACGATTCTCAAGCTCTTGATGATCTTTTGTTGACTCTTTCATTGCCTTTCCCATGACACTTATGTTGTCGTAAGAATCTTGATTTTATCACAACAATCGCTGATGAAATTCTCATGAAATTCTCCAATGTTTTCCTGCAGACGAGGCCCAAATGCTGTTGAAACTTCTTTAAGAAGTTCTATGGCTTTATAAGCTATCTCTTCACCACTCACTGTTATCACTTGCCATAAATAATCTTTTCCAATTAAATCTTCATCGTCAATCACATAACCGCGATGTTTTGCTTTAAGTTTCTCTTCTTTAGAATTAACAGCTTTAAAAAATCGCTCAAAGCATTTTATGCCACTTTCGGTCAAAAGTTGTGGATCTAATCGTAAGATATTCATTTCAAAGAATTCTTTATTTATTCCCGGATCAAGATCTGGTTCATCGCCCATCAACTTTCCAAACCAACGGAAGCATTCTTCACGGTCACTTGGAAAAGCAGCATTAACAGCCAAACATTGCCAAATTTGTTTTGCTTGATCGGCACAAAGCCACAATTGTCCATCTTTGAGGACGATGTGGATAATAACTGACATAACTCAATATTGATCTCATTCAAAGCATTCATCTTTCCATTGCAACTTGAAATTTGAATAACACGCAAAATTATCTTCAAACGACACATTTCCAAATCTTTTATAATATTTTCCACATTCAGACTGTGAGCGATAAGAAGTCTTGAGAATTTTATGATTCCATTAACAATATCATTCTTCCCTTCAAGCTTTGCATCACGTTTCAATTCATCATCACTTAGATTGTCAATTATTTCAATTAAAGATGAAATTTCCACCAAGTTCTTTGTAAAACTTCTTCTCTGTGTCGTCAAAAAATTCACCAGCTATGAAATAATTTAGAATAAAAGCAGCAGCAAAGTTTTTCGAATGGTTTTGAATTTAATACTTCTGGTTTTTCATTTTCTGTCCATTTCACTGAATCACTTCCATTCAAAAATAATCAATTGTGAGTTGCTCTTGTTCCATCATACTCATACAGATTAAAACGAAGCCTCGAATCCCACATGTCATAACAGCTCTCAAATCTCATCAATTGTTTTTTTACGAAGCTTTTCGTGAATGTAATCATCATTTAACAAATCTTCCTTCTGCTCTTTCGATGATGACGATTGACTACACTTGTAAATTTTATAGTTTTGCGTGATTCCATTGAGAGCATTGTTAAGTGAAACTTCAGTCAAATCCAAAGTGTCTTGAAGCTTTTGTTTCAAGTGCTTGCTGAAAGTTATCAACAGTGCAATCATCAGACGTGTTCATCTCACCAATGTCATAACCAGCATGACGATCATTGACATGAGCAAGAGTCGTCTTTGGTTTACCAGGTTTACCGACATTCAAAGCAATTTTCTCCGTTCTGCAAAACCGTCTTGTTTTATTATTGAAACTATTCAGTTGACCAGGCTTGAAAGTCTTCTTCACAACATCTCGTTTAATATTTATCCACAAGCAAATTTACAGAATCATTTTGTCGCTTCGATCTCGTTCTTTTTCTATTTTTTTTCTTTTTTTTTCGCATAAACATCATCAACATCAATATCATAAATATCACCAAACAAATCTTCAAGTCGTTGCCTCTTCTCCCGTTTGTTGAAATTCGTGATGTTTCTTTTTCCAACATTTGAAAATTCAAAACTCAATTAAAAGAAAATCCATTCAAGCATTTATTTCAAAACTCTCGGTCAAAATTTTAAATTCACATTTGTAGCAAAACTCATTCTGCAAATGTATTCCAAACATTCATTCAAAACTCAACTCTTAAGCAGAAAGTCCACCGGTCTAATTCTTTAAGTAAGATTCAAATGTGTTCAAATTTCTCTTTTCGCACTAACATCAACGCAAATGAAATCTTTTGCAAATCTCTCCTTATGCACCAACATTCAAATTTCGAACGTCTTTCTCAACAGTTTCGATGGTTCTCGTTCTTCTTATCACTGAATGTGTCACAACATGATCAGGATTCTTAATCGACGGTGAATTATTGAAAAATCTATTCAAAGTTGTGTCACTTTCACATTTGTCGCTGACACTTTCATCAGGATTGCATAAAGTTGAACAATTGAAATGAGATTCATCCTGAAGTGGAGGCTCGTCCACTGAAATGTCTTCTCCATCAGAGTCTGATATTGTGATTTCATCTTCTTTCTCATCATCGCCACTTTCGGAACAAATCTCTCAAAAGTCAAATGCGGTCAAACTTCTCTTTTCTGCTCTAAACATCTGCAATAGCAAACGATGTATTTCAAAGTCCCATGAGCCAAACTTCATTTCAAAACTCATTGCGAGATTAATTTCCAGATCTCATTTCAAAGCCCTCTGTCAAAACTCTTAGTCAAAATTCCTGAACAAATTTCATTTCAAAATTATATATTTAATTAAAGACAAAGTTCATGCCAAAACTCAAAGTATAACTCAAGAGAAATCTCTTGATTTGAAACCTCAACGTTCGATGTTCACTTTTATTTCAAAATTCAATTCCTATACAATAAATTTTATATTTTCAAAATCACTCCAAATTTCTTTCGAGCAACATTCAACTTATTCACATTTCATTTTATTTTTCTTTTCCTACTAACACTGACGCAATTGGAATATATTGCGAATCTTTCCTTCTGCACCAACACAAATGCAATCGGTATTTAATGTATTGCAAATCTCTCGAAAGTCAAAATGGCTGCTCATTGCATCTTGACCAAAATCAAATCAACTCCAAACTTCTCGCCGAACTGCTATTTATCCATTACAAAACTCATGTCAAAATTCAAGCCAAATTTCATGTCAAAGCTCATGTCAAAGTTCATGTCAAAATTCATGTCAAAATTCATTACAAAACTGCTTACAAAATCCATTGTCAAAGCTCACATTCAAATTTCATGTCAAAGCATTCGATTTCTCAGAATTACAACCGACGCTGCGAAGTTTTTCTCGAAAACTCATTTTCGCAACCAAAATTCCGGTTTTTTTGCTGCTTTCACTACTTACACTTTTCCTATGATCCCTTCTTATGCTTTTCCTCTAGCTTTCTTTCACTTTTATTCCGAACTAACCCGCGAATTTCACAAATTTAACCAATCGACGCTATTGAAGGAAAAATTAAAACTTTTTTCCACGCGATTTTCGGGTTCTTTCTTTGTAATAAATGGCCACCGCTGACACCAAATGTAATGTCTTGAAAGGTCGGCCGTATTTATGAATAATAGACAACTGGATACCGGACAAATAATTAATTATTCTCCCGCGATTTCATAACACGTCCGTTCGGTATCTTATTTATTCACTCACTGAACTCCTCAATTACTGAGCGTACTCGCACTAATACCAATACACTACAGTGTCACTTGAAGTTAATCATAGTGGAAACATTAAGATTTCCACAATAAAACATCTACGAACGAACTCTACATTAGGGAATCGCCATACAATTATTTCTACGTCGTTTAATTTTATTAATGGTATCATATGCCAAAGCATTTCTTTTCTCAGTCTACCGACAAACTCCACAATAATAATAACAGCGCATTGCGAAAAAGCTTTTGACATAACGAGATGAAAAGTGGAAGGCTAATTTAAGGCAATAACATTCCGGAAACGTTTGTACAAAGACTGAAGAAAATGGTTTCGGTCACGAATTAAATAAGCCTATTCAGAGCTTAATAAGCTCCCTTAATTTCCAGTTTTATCGATTTTCTTATAAATTTCTTAACATACTTTCTTTCTAATATAATCATAAATAATTTTGAAAGGTTCTAAAGGTTCTTTGAGAGCAAGCTGTTAACAATTAGCAGGGATCCAATGTATTAAGTTTGATGATTTAAACTTGTTATTTAAAAGTTCTTTGAACAGAAATTCAAAAGAAAACTTTTCTTCACAATACCCTTAAAGCTTTACGTCTTAAGACTCGTGTAGCAAGTTGCAATTATAAAAAAAAATAAAGAACAGAAGCTCAAGATTTGTGATCATTACTTTGTGAAAACTCAAGAGTAGATTTATTTAGTTTTCCGACATTTTCCTACATCAACCCCAACACGAAAAAAAATCTTAAACTTCAACCTTACTAATAGAAACTAACTCGATATCATGTGGAGATAATAGAAAAAATATCGTTTAATAAGGCTGTTACATTGCAACCTCTAAGGAGACGTTAATAGACGAAAAAGAAAACAAAAAAGGAAGGAACAAGAAAACTGTGAGAAATAAAAAAGCGAAACTGAAGATAATCGCTTTTATCTCTAAGGAAAAAACGAAAAACAGAAGAATCGTTTACTTTTATGACGGAAGCTTTTATTGTAGACCGAGGGACTAAAACTATATTTTTTCTCACTTTACAGCATAAGAAAAAAGTTTTCCACAATGTCGCTTCTTATTCGTTGAGATTTCATGATTTTGGTTGACAGTGAAATGAGAAAAACAATTCGTTTAAATTATATTGTTGGAATTTTTTTTTTTTTTTTTTTGATTCAACTTATTTATAGTGGTTTGAGCTTGTAGCCATTTCCCCACTTGTTACTAATAGTAACTATCTGTATATATTTATACTAAAGGGCCGAAGTATCTAAACTTCACTCTACCTCATGACCAAGTCGGGGTTCGAACCCGGGACGTATGAATTGTACGCCCGACTCCAAGCGACTTAAGCCAATGCACATTGGGAATGGTTATATTGTTGGAAAAGAACTTTTCAAATAATAAAGTTACGGAAAAGATACTTTTTCAAAAGAAAGTTCTTCTGAATTGGGACTGGGAAGCTTCTCATGATATTTATACAAATAAATACTCGTTCGAGTGAAAGGATATAAGATTGACCCTTGTCTAAGCTTCTCATGTTATTCTCTCGTTTTTTCTTTGTTACTTCTTAAAACTTTTTCCGATTTATTGTATCTACAAAACAGGAATAATAATCAAACTGTGATTGTGTTCATAGGATGAAATCATCAGCAAAAGTTGCTTACGTCATTTTAGAAAATTGTAATTTGATTGCTTGGGGTTCGTTTTCATACTTCACAAGAAGTTTTGTCTCTTTTTAATTTTCAAACTTTTCACCCGGAACAATGAAAAGCTAACCAAAAATTTGCATCATTTGTTATGTGAAAACAATTTTCATGTTTTGGTTTTGAATGTTGAAAACTTTATTAAAATTAAAGTTTTCCAAACTTATTTTCTCTGGCATTGAGAGCGTTGAAAAGAAGAAAAAAATTGAGTTCCTAATGTAGTTTCAATGTTTCAAATGAGAGATGACGAGACGAAAGCACCTGCCAAACTTTCTTTGGTTTATTTTTTTATTGGCAATGAGCTAACCATTAAGCTGCTAAACTGCTAATGATTTATGGCTTAAGGTAGAATTTTTTTTATATTTTTTTTTAGTAGAAAACACAAAAAGAATTAGCATTGGAATTGTTGGTTTTAAATTTCATTTTGAATGAATGAAATGAAAAAGTGTTTGTTAATTAATTGTAAACGAATTTCACCGTGTTTTAACACATTATTCAGAAAAGTTTTTATTAACGAGAAAACCACGTACATGTTACCTCAAAAAAGGTTTTTAAACCTGAAACTCTACGTGAGCTCAACTGTTATGTCATAGTTAGCAAACATTCTCTGTTGAATCAGGTTGTTAAAATTTAAGGCAATGACAACTCTGAATAATAAAGAATATCTAATAAACCATGAAATTTTAGAGTGAATTGGATGGCATTACGAGGAAAAGGATTACTTTTCCCATCTCATTTACAGTCACAATGTTGACTTTTAATTAGCGAAAACAGCTTTTCTCATTTTAATATCCGGTAAAACGTCTCCGGAATACTCAACACGAGAGCACTTTCCTTGAATTATGAATGAATGTTTGTATAATTTAAAATGCTTTAAATAATTTTCACTTTTATATTCTTTCCAGAAATATGTATCTGAGTTGTCAACTGTACGGGATTGTGTTGCAACGTGTGTGGAAAAAGGTAAAAGAAGAAGAAATTTAAAAATGTTAATGCTGCCGTTTTTATGATAATTACAGATAAGCTTTATTCAAATCTTTGAAACATGAATTGTTGTTTTATTATGAAACATGGAAATGATTTTAGCATTAAGTTGTAAACAGATCTAAATATGGTCATAAATGATGTTTCTTTTATTATCTTGTGACAATATGCTTGTAATATCCATTTGTGTTTAGACAATGCTGCTGGTTACAGGATATAATTACACTAGAAATGTCACAATATGCATTCATCCAATGCAAACATATTTAGATTATATAAATGCTAAATTAATTTGACATTTGGAATGAAACTCGATCTGTCTTCTAATTCTATTATCATGCATTCAAAAACTCACAATTCCTATAAAAAAAAAATTTACAATTCTTCAGTTTTCCGTGAAAGGGAAAAGTTACGAGTTAAACTTCCCGTCACTAACATTGTAACATTTTTTATTACATCACATCCCCTTGGTAAAATGAAATGAGTAAACTCAATAGACAGAAAACGAGTAAAAAAACGTCAGAAGGAAAGTTTACAATTTTCAATTTTCATAATACGTGATAAAGATTTATCTTACATCGTACGTACATTTAACAAGTGAATGAAGACTTCAAGAAAAATTTCACATACAAAATCTTACGTCATAAGTAAAGTCATGCGAGAAATTAAGAACGACTAATGGAAATATGTCATTGAAACTTATAACATAACGTAACCTTAAGAGGAAGCAATCAAAAATGACAAGAACAGACTTACGGATTCCGACATCTACCTTTTCATATCCATGCCATGGCTCTTCTCAAATAAATATTCCATGCCTAACATTGTATTTGAATTTTAAATGAAGCTTCCAAAACGTGTTCGCAGGCTCAGATTTCAGTCAGTATTGTCATAAGATAATTCTTACTTCTTATCATATTCTTTACTTTAAGAAATCTGAACCTGAATTTCCATGGGAAAACTTTCAACGAAAGAATCACGCAAAAAAAAGTTATGAAATCAAATCATCTTTATCGGCGTAATCTTATTATTCAGGTGTAGTAACACCCTTTCTTTTCTCGTTATTAATATATTACAGAGGTTTGGGATACGAGCACATATTGCTGTAACGAGAATGGTTGCAATGAATCGACAATCGTCTCCATCTCTAAGCATCTTATAACAGCAACCGCTCTTCTGTATTCAGTAGGACATCTCTTTAGCATCATATAAGAAATCGGATAAAGAAAATTAGAATGAATTTTTGTTAAATCGCTTATGGTTTCAATTTCATTAATTTTTAATAAAAATAAAATTCAAAAGCTTGAAGATTAATAAGTAAAATAAAATGCTCAATTATATTTATTTTTTGATGTTTTAAATGATATTAAAAATTAAATAATGTTCTTGATAAAATGAAAAAGATACACATCATCACAATATATTCTAAAACTTCATAAATTTTATGCTGCTTACTTATTAATAGAAACCACAACTGTAAAAATATTTAATGCAAAACTAATTTCATTGTAAAAATGTTAAAAATTTAAAAGCTTTTTCCATTTTCTAGCTCGTGCCGTTCATACATCCATAAATCATAATGGATAATAGAAATGAATGTATGTATGCCCTAATTTTTTTCTGTTAAAGTTCGTTTTATGAACAAATATGTGAGAAATGCACAAGGAATTAAAATCTTAAAATATTTGTTGTGAGGGTAACTTAAAATATTTAATGATATTTCCAAATGTTGAAACATCCTCGAAGCTTTTAGTTTTTATGATCATTTCATTTGTTAAGTGAAGTCAGAATGAAAAGAAGAACTCATAAAATGTTTAATTCTCTAATGTCTATAAAAGAATGAAAATGAATTTTCGTAGATATGTTGCACAACAAGATTCTGCTTTTAAGTATTTTATCAGTTTCATTTTACTACAAAATAATTAATCCTATGAACTTAAAAAGATATAACGAGTTAGCATGAAAAATCTTTAACCTCCGATTTGAGATTTTCTTTTCATTTTCGTCGAAGTTTTTAAAAGCTTCAAATTTTAGTCGATTTGACGATTAAATCTTTAGATTGTAATCTTGAAGAAACAACCAGCACAACTCATTAGATAATTATTGATTTCATTAAGTGCATATTTAAAATTGGGAATATTCTACTTTATGCAGTATCTGCTAATTGAATAAAGAATAAACAGAAAATTTAGCTTATTAATAAATATAAAATATTCGCTCAGTCTTCCTATAGCATTTTATGAGAAAAAGAAAAGTCTTTTTCAAATTATGTTTAATAATCATTAATCTTATCTCAGATTTTAATCATTCAAACTATTTGTTATGCTTGTTAATTGGATAAAATTATTTATCAATTTTGGAGGTCTGGATAGAATTCAAATCATTTTTGTTGCTAGAACTAAAAAGAAATTTATTCTGCTTGAGATTAATCAATTATTTAGTCAGATCGTCTTTCTTTGTTTTAGTATTTAAGATAAAAACTTTCTTTAAACTCAAAATTTTACAAGAATGTTTAAAACAAATATGTGGATTGTACAGTTAGCTGATTGTTCAGGATGTCGTCTCTCCATATGTAATTTGGAGATTATGAAGAATTGCTATAAGTTTAATCGATAACCGTATAATAAAAAAAATCATCAAAATATTGTGAAAATGAACATTTTCTGAATTAATTTATTTGAAATTGAAAGAATTATTGACAAAGAAAAGTAATAAATTTTAAAAAATTCCTTCCTAAAATTGATACAACTAAAGCATCTTCCTTAGTCGAAGCTGAAAATAGAAAACATGAATATTTTTGAAGTTAGCACATTGATATTAATATCCTTGTAAATGAATATTTTGCTGCATGAAAGAAGGTCACCAAATTCACTTATCTGATTGTTCGCAAACCAATTTTTAGATGAAAAAGTTGAATAAAATTTCAAAAATCAAAAAACTTTCTTTAGCTGTTTTGTGTTTCTGCTGATAATTTCAGGCACACCTTAACATAACTGACGTCATGGCCATCATCTTCAAAATGATAATGAGAAATGGCCGATTATATGACTTAATCTTTTATATTACATTTTATTACATCCTCACTAGGGAATTCTTTCATTAATTAACTTTCATAATAATAAATTCAGTTTAGCAGAATTCCTAATACAGTGAACTTTCTTTATAAGAATTTTGAAGGACTTTAAAGAACTTTTTTTAACATTACTTCTTAATATGAGTGTGTGGCTTATAAAGAGCTTTTTACTTATAAGGAGAATTCTTATAAAGAAAGTCCACTGTATTGCAACATTATACTCTGTCGCCAAGAAGTTTTTGATATAAAATTCAAACTCTTCCATAAATATAAAAATATTTATCTCCTACTTACCTTATCAAAAATTCAGCAGAATATTTTCCAGATTATTCATTATTGTTATTATCTTATAATATGAATCTATTTAGTAACAAGTTGCCGAAACTTCTGTAAATAAATAAAAATATTCTAAATGAAAGTCAATGGATAAATTTAAATAAATTTTTATTTTGTACAATTTCAAAAGAAAACATTTAATTATATGATTTAATTCAAGTTTAATATTTATTTCAAGTTTAAAAATAATCTAACAGTTCAATAATAATTTAGTAAAGTCTTTCGATTGTTTCAGTCTTAAATTTAGTATCACAATTACCATTCATAAAAGCTTTTTCTACTGACATCCCATCGACGAGCTAAATATTTGTAAGCATCAAGGAAGATCAAGTCAAAGTCAGTGAAATTTTCTTTGTTCTGAATTTTTTCGAAAAAGATGTCCGAACTCTTCAAACAAATCTTCAATCGAATTAAGTTATTTAGAACTGAGTCTTTAGGTGGCGTATGTGCAGTGAATAAGTTTGTTGAGATTGTTCTCAATTTGAGATTGTCAGTAGCAAGTGTGTTGAAAATTCGTTGATCAATGTTATTTGTAGTGAAATGCTTTAAATTAGGAATGTTCTTTAAGATTGACAATTCACATGTTGAGAATCTTTCCGCCACCATATTT